TGTCTTTATTGAGTCTTGATTGAAACTTTCCAGCAATTAACTTATCAGAAGCATCCCTCTCCGGAGAACCACCCCTTTTTACAGCCTGCAATTCCTGGGCAGTCGGTCGATCGGCAAGGACTCTCTCTCCTACAGGAACCTCTATCAGAACGGCCAGGAGACTTTTCTTCCATTTTTGCTGTCCCTTCAGTGTCTTCTTTCAATAAGCCACTTCTGCATACCACACTCCTCCTTCTTGGCTGTGGGACTCAATCCAGCAGAGAAGGAAAGGGGTGGTAACCACAGACTCCCCGAAACACTGGGACAAACTGTTAAACTGTTCCCCCAAAGTAATTAGGTATCAGCTGGCCAGTGTCCTCAATGTTGAGAAATTAATTCTTCCAAAGGTTTCAGCTGAAAATCTACAGTGAGGGCGCTGCTGCTGCGGTCAGCACATAGAGCTGCTGCCTCTGACACCAGCATCCCACGGGGTGCCAGTTCAAGACCCGGCTGCTCCCATCCAGCTCCTGGCTGACATGCATGTGGAAGCAGCCAGAGTGCCTGAGTGCGTGTACCCCTGCACCCATGGGAGAGACACGGAAGTTGCCCTAAACTCTTGGCTCCAGCGTGGTCCAGCTCCAGCCAAGGCAATCACTGGGGACTGAGCCAGCAAAAGAAAAGATCAGTCTCTTCCTCACTCAGGGCAACTCTAAATAAATTTTAAACATTTTTTAAATAAAAAAAACATTTCCAGTGAGGCACAGGCTTAATTTAAAACAATTTCTCTTCCTTCCTATCTCCCTGACAGTTCAAGCAGCCAGACAGTAAAACTGCAAGTGATGTTCAGCTACCAAAACAAGAAACACACTGTGGATAACGCACAGCCACCATCCTTCTCCCTTTTCTGAAACGCTTGTGGCTGGATAAGGGACAGACTAAGATCGTCCAGTTTCTTTTACAGAGAGGAGAAACAGCATGCTTTGAACGATACTGGATAGAAACAATAGTGCACGGGCAATTCATTTCAGATCCTTAACTGCTTTTGGCGACTCTGACTCAGGCCAGCTCGAGCAGATTCGCTATCATTCCGCCATCGCCCGGCAGACAGCACACTGGCCACTCAGACTCAAGTCCTTAGGTGTCTCTATCACCCCAAATGAGAAAAAGACTTGTAGCTTATACTGAATCTCAAACTTTGGCCAACATATGGAACTATGAATCTAAATTTTTTCTTCTAAAATACTGTGTATCACCATCATGTTATTGTCCACTGATTTGGGTTTTTGCCGAGGCCCTTAGCTCACCCTTTTCTACCACATGTCTTACACTCTGAAGTACATCCTGAAACACATACAATTTCTTCCCAAATCTGCAGCCCGGGTGAGTCCTCTGCTTTGCAACAGAACCACGGCCTAACTGCGCAAGGGTGCAGTTACCTGACCCATCCCATCCGGTTTTCACAGGAACAGACAAGCACCCAGACACCCACGGGACCGTGCCTGCTCCAATGGGTGCCTTGCCCTTTTCTCTAGAAGCTGCTAGGAATTTCTATCACTGCAGTGCAAAAATACGATCACGAGACGTCCACATGATGTCTGACGACTTTCTTCTTAGAATTTTTTTTTTTAATTTTCTCATTTCTACCTACTCTTTACATTACTGCAATTAATTACTTACTTCTGAAGAAACATCACAGGGCCCAGCATGAAGGTGCAGTGGCTAAATCCTCCCCTTGCAACTACCAGGATCCCATGTGCGCATTAGTTCAAGTCCCGACTGCTCCACTTCCCATCCAGCTCCCGGCTTGTGGCCTGGGAAAGCAGTGGGGGACGGCCCAAAGCCTTGGGACCCTGCGCCCACAGGGAGACAAAGAAGAGGCTCCTGGCTCCTGGCTTCGGATTGGCGCAGCACCAGCCATTGTGGTCACTTGGGAAGTGAATCATCAAATGGAAGATCTTCCTCTCTGTCCTCCTCGCTATATATCTGACTTTCCAACAAAATAAATCTTTAAAAAAAAGTTACTTAAGAAATAAGGAAACCATGTAAGTGGATGATGGTCTTTTTTTTTTTTTTTTTTAATTTCACATGTGCAGTGTTAGCAGCAACAAGAAAGCCTTGGGTCTGAATCCAGCAGACTGCCAAGCAGTGCTTCCAAATGCTGAGAGGTCAAGTGTCAAGCGATTAACAAGCACGAGGACAGGAACCGAGGAAAGGCAGAGCGCCAAGGTCTAACAAGGGTTAATTAGATGGTTAGTACAGATCTGGAAGATAATAGTCTGACAACTTGTTCCAAAAGAGCTAGTTTTTCAGGGAAGAGAAATGGACTAAGGCACCAGGGGGCCCAAGAGAAGTCAGAGCAAAACACTGCAACTGTATCTTCCACACTTCTGTCTCTAAGTCGCAGCAGGCCAAGCGGAAGGCCGGGAGGGAGAGTTAAAGGCTGCAAGAAGGAATCAGGCTGTATTTAAGCCCGGCCGGGAAATGACAGCCCAGCGATGACAGCAGACACCCAGTGCTCCGGAGAAGCCAGGAGAACAGCTCAGCATCTTTCCAACATTCACATCACTGCATGGACTTGCCTTAAATGTACAATCCAGTTTCTTTCCACTTTTTTGAGATTCATTCATTCCATCTGCATGTGCCACTATTTTTTTAAAAAGATTTTTTTGTTTGTTTTATTTTAATTTGAAAGGCAGAGAGAGATAATATATCATCCAGTTTTCATCCCAGTCACCTCCAAGAGCCAGGCTGAAGCCAGCAGCTATAACCTCCAACCAAGTGTGCCACGTGACAACGAGCACTCAAGTGGGGGGCATCCAAATGTGCCATGTGGCGACGAGCACTCGAGTGGGGGGCATCCAAATGTGCCACGTGGCGACGAGCACTCGAGTGAGGGGCACAGGAGCAGGGAGCTGAGTCAAAAGGGGAGTACCAGGATTCCAACAGTGCCGGCACGTGGGATGCTGACATCATAGCGGCACTGAGTTCCCTAGGCCAGTGTCTGCTCCTAGTTCACTTCTTAAAATAGTAATATGCCATCCTACGCATCTGCCATGACCCACTTCGATACTCTCTCACCAATGAATTTTTTTCCCCTCTTTTTCTGATTATTGTAAACACAAAACTCTGTTCTTTATAAAATTTACACTTAGCCTTAATTGAAGCAGCCTTCTGCCTCAATCTAAGAGTCCGGCCCACACATGCAGGACACGACACCCCTGGCATCACTCCTCATGAGGCATACCAGAAAACAGCACTCACCAGCAATGCCAAGGGGACTCACTCCTTCATCCTGAACTGGTACCAAACTGCTTCTGTTACACACAAAGCTACAACGTCACAAACAATGGGGGACTTTTTATTTCCCGGTCTTCTGTGGGCTCCCAGAACACAGCCTCCACCTACTTAGCTGACAGTCATGTGCTAATTATATAACTCTGGGCACCTCACTCAATGCTAAGCCATAATTCCCTGGTACACAAAATAAGATAATTACAGCGTCTCTTTTAAGGTTATTTTAAAGACCAAATTAAGCCATGTACTTCAAGGATTTGTAGCACCTAACACACGTTTAAGTACACCAACATTAGCTATCATAAATAAAACTCGATTTCCAAAACTATTTCGAGAAAAAGAGTCAGACTGTATTTCTTAGGTCAAGGGCATCTCAATGTGTCATCATCAGTGCCAGCTTAACAGTGACACGCAGGAAGTAGTACTTCCAAAATAACTTAAAGAGGAAATTTACTCCTGTACTTGCAAGAAGATGGATAGCATTTAGGAGGCCTGTGACACAGTGGGTAAAACCACAGCTCCAAGCTCCAGCATCCATCTGGGCCAGAACCACGTTCCAGCTGGTCCATTCCAATGCAGCTCCCTGCTTAACAGTCAAGGAAAAGCAGCCCCTCCCGCGGGCATTCAGGGAAGTGTCCTGGGCAGCGAGGAGCAGGTCTGCGATTGCAGCCACCAGGGCAGTGAGCCGGCACATGGCACAGGCTGCTGGGTCTCTCTCTCTCCCTCTAATCCTTTCAAATAAACGTTAAAAAAAAAAAAGAAACAGAATTTAGGAAACTGTAGCAGAAGCAATGCTAACTGTACATATAAAACAGTATTCCCCAGAGCCATCTTTCAACTCGCAAACAAGGCTTTGCAAAGCAGCCTCCCCCCAAAGATACACAAGCTCTCCTGGGAGCTGCTCAGCCAACTCCCTTATCCCCTTCATACGGGTGCTGGGAGCAAGCTTCAAAGATGATTCAAAAATGCCTGTCAGTTTTCCCACCCAACTGCATGCTTCAAGTTAGCCTGTGACCCTCTGTGTCCATGTCTGTGCTTTTATTTATTCATTTGAAAGGTACACAGAGAAGGGAGGACTATCCACTGGTTGACTCCGCCAAAGGCTGAAATGGCCAGGGCCGGGCCACCCCAAAGCCAAGGACCTGCAACTGAGCCCAGGTCTGCAGCCTGGGTGCTGGAGCCCCCAAACGCGGGCCACTGCTCTGCCTGGCCTTGGAAGGAAGCTGGCTGGGGTCTGCAGACCGGACGCAGTGTGTGCCACCACGCTTATCCACCAGCGTGTGCCAAGCACATGCAGACGGTCACTTATGCAGGTGTCGTGTAAACAGTTGTAAGCTATGAGAGAAATGACACGAAGAAGGGAACTCCTGCAAGCTCCCCTCGTGGTCGGGCGGAACGCGTGGGGGCAGGTGCAGGGAACAGGTGCACGACTCCGGGACCGCCGGCTCTCTACACAGTCCCAACTTCCCTCCTGAAGAAAGAACTCGCAGTGCAAAACAGACATTCCTTTTCTCCTATCAAACAAAAACCATCTTCCAAAAGGAGAACCCCTCGTGACGTTGCTGAGCGCGTCACCGTCCCCATCCTCCCCAAACACCTCCTGTTGAAGTTCCCAAGGAGAAACACAGGGTCGAGCTGGAGCAACGGGTCAAGGCGAGAGGCGGACCCCGGGCTGTCCCACACCGCGAGCTCCCCGAGCGAGGCGCGACCACCGGCCGCCTCCCTACCTTGGTCTGAACGCTCTTATCATGTCTGTCGTTCTTGAAGGCAAACACGTTCTGGTACTTCTGCGACCTGGAACGAGCCACGTTGCCTTTCTGGGAGCTCATCTCCGGAAACCCCGCGCCGCCTCACGCCCGCTGACCCGGAAGCAACTGCGGGAGCCGCGCGAGGCCCCGCCCCCGGCCCGCCCACGTGACGACGCCTGGCGTCCGGAGGGCCAGGGCGGCCCGACGCGGGGCCCGGGGCTCGCCCGGCCGCACAGTGGCCGTCCTCACCGCAGCACGCGGCCCCGCGCGGCTCCCCTCACCGCCGAGCCCGGTGCCGCACACAGCCTCGGCCTCCAGCCCCGGAGGACCAAGCCGGCTGTCTTCGCCATGACCGTGCCTCCCGATTGGTCCGAACGGGACCGTCAATCACCGCGCAGGAGGCGTGGATCCCTCGCTCCTATTGGCTGCCCTTTTCCGCAATCCCCGCCTCCCGCCGAGGCCGTGAGGCCGCGCCCGGCGCTGGGCGGCCCGTGATTGGTGGGCGGCGCGGCCGGGTCCCGCCCCTCGCCCGCTCCCCGGCCGTGAGGAGCCCGGGTCAGCCTGGACGCCGTCCTGCAGTCCGAGTGACCGGCTCGCGGCTCGGCGGCGCCCCGCGGGAGCAGCCACCCGGCCGGCCGGCCGACTGCGGGAGAGACGGAGGCGGCCGCGCGCGCTCAGCGTCCCCGAGCGGGAGGCGGCGGCAGCGGCCACGGCGGCGCGGGGCGCGAGGCCCGGGAGCAGGCGGCCGCCTCGGCGCCTCCCGCCGGGGGCCGTTAGTCAGCGGCGGCGGGGCGCTCGTGGGGAGCGGCGGGGCGCCCGTGGGGAGCGTGGGGAGCCGCGGGGCCGGCGCCCGGCCACCCCCCAGCACCACCCTCCCGGCCGCGGCCGGGCCGGCCAGGACGACGCGGCGGCCGAGCTGTCCTCCCGGGGCAGGTGCGTGCGGCGGCGGGGGGAGGGGAGCGCGGGAGGCGCCTTTGTTGTCGGGGACCGGGCGTCCCGCACCGGGTTCTGGGCCTCGGGGGAGCGTGCGGGGCCGAGGGGCCGAGGGACCCCGCGCGGGGCCGTCCTCCTCGCGCCCTCCACGGACAGATGGGGTCAGCGGCCGCTGGGCGTGCTCGGCCGGCCGCGGTCGGGGATGGCTCCTCCTGACCCTTTCTGCAAACTCCGGCCCGGGATCGTTGGCAATCGGTTTTAAACTGGGACATCGCAGAGGGGGAGGGGGCATTCTTTTTTTTTTTTTTTTCTCCTCCTTCCAAATCTATGGGGTTCTGACCCAGGATGAGATCGCTGCTCGCGGCAGCACAGAATTTTTGAAAAGAAAGAGATCCGTAATACAAGCCAGTGTGAGATGTGGTAGGCAAAGGATGGATAACGGAGTAGAGAAGGTCACCTCTACATCTCGGCCGGCTCCTTTGGCAAGGGGGCTCCTCTTTAGTAGTTGACTGTAGAACGCTCGATCCGTAAGAGGATTCATTGATCAACAAGGAGGAATTGTGGACATGTTGTGTCAGGAGGCGGTGGGTACGGGTAGGGATGGCATGAGTTAACACCCCGGCCGGGAGGCCTCGCAGCCACGGGGAGCCCGACACCCTGGCTGTGTGGCCAGGCACAGGCAACCCAGTGTTTTCCACAGTTGCCGGGAGGGTCACTGCTCCGTTGTGCCAACTTCTTCTTTGGAAAATCTTTGCTTTGTGAGCAGGGCAGCGGCCTCACCTGAAGGCGTGAGGATAATCCTGTGACACCTCACCAGAGCCGCCGGGTCTGATGGCCTCCTGGAGGTGGGGTGCGGGTGGGGGGTAGCACCTTCAGCCCACTGTGACCTCTGCTGCTCCGGGGTTAAGAAGGTCAGCAGGCCAGCACAGGATTAGCTTTAGTGCAGGCCAGTAGGCAGCTGTGAAGCTGTTCCTTGTGCAGGACTCTTGTTGGAATGTAGCCTGATTCGGAGGACCTTTACCCGTTTGGAAATGTCTGCAATGTTTCTGATTCCTGGGTCACAGGGCCATTACCGCCTCGTGTCACAGGCATGCTTCGGGAGCTTACTGAGCACAGGAACCAAGCCATGAGTGTCTGGGATGTGGTCACCGAGTCGCTCTGCCACTCCAGGCACGCTTTCCTGTGGCTGAGTCAGTTCCCCATCTGTGCCACCTGCCAGCTCAGAACAGGAAGCAGCGTGCTGCCCTGGAGTCCGTGCGGAGCGTGTGTGTGTGTGTGTGTGTGTGTGTGTGTGTGTTTTGCTGCTGTGAATTTGGGTCCCTTGAGGAGGAGTTTACATCCAGAGGCAGTGAGAAATGGGCTCGCTGTCCTTAGGCCGTGGTGTAAGAAGCAGTGTCTCAATCCATATCAGATCGTTGCTGCAGCTCAATGATCAGTGACCAGAGGAGTGAGTTTCTGGGCCTGGGTGGCTTGTTCTCTGGTGGATTTTCTTTCTAATCGAGCCTAGGGTTTGCTCTTCACTCTGAAAGTGGCTCCTAGCTGTCTCCTTTGGAAGTACTTGCATACATTGGCCCTTAGGCCTCTCAGACCCAGCCTTGCAAGCTGGAGCCGAAAGGGGAATTGTGGGCCTTTTGCACTTGTTGTAAAATCCTGACAGGCGAGCTCTTCATGGCTGAAGCGAAGCAGTTCACCTGGGTTCGAGCGGGACTGACTCTGACCTCCGTCTTCTGAACTCTAGTCCTGAGCCCTTCCCCGGGAAGATGTGTCTCCCCAAACACCTGGCAGTAGCCAGGAATTTTCGGTGAATCCCCAGAGAAGGAGAAATAATGTAGAAGTGTAAGAATGGACAGTACACGATTTAATAATGCTGTCCATCTGCCCGTTACCTAACAGACAATCAGTTAGTATGCAAGTCAGTATGGAGCTGCCTAGGTGCTTTTAGGTTTTGTTTTTATTGGAAAGGCAGATGTATACACAGGGAGAAGGAGAGACAGGGAAAGATCCTCTGTCCACCGGTTCACTCCCCAGACAGCCACAATGGCTGGAGCTGAGCAAGGCAGAACCAGGAGCCCTGGCCTTTTCTTCCTGTGCAGGTGTAGAGCCTTGGCCCATCCTCCACTGCTTTCCCAGGTCACAGGCATGGAGCTAGAAGGGAAGTGGAGCAGCTGGGACACAAACCGGTGCCCCATTGGGTCCCCAGGCGTGCTAGAGGAAGATTTAGCCACTAGGCTACTGTGCCAGGCCCTGCCTCCACTTCTTAAGCTGGAAATTGACATACATCCTTCCTGTTTATATTTAATTATATATTTTTATATTCCTGTACATTGTATAGCTTTGTTTTGATTGTTTAAAACTTCCTGGACTAGCTTTCTTTGTTCAGCTTGGCCTTTTGTCTGCATTGATTCAGATGGCTCTGAGGTGCTTGTCATGAGCACTGCGCAGCATGTGCCGCGTTGTGTGGCTGTCTCAGCTTCTGTTGCTCGTAGCTGTCTGAGCAGTGCTTGCGGGAGTATTCTTGGGTAGTTATGGGGTGCACAGTACCGACCCAGTCAGTGACAGCCTGCAGTGAGCGCTCGTGCCTCGGGCACGCCGAGGGACATGTCCTGATGTGTGACTGCTGGGTTTATTAGCGTGCACGTGCGAGACTTCTCCAGCAGTGTGGCTTGAGCCCACATTCAATTTTTATAGGAAATATTTTACAGTGTCTGTGATACTGTTGTAAAATGAGATTTTTCAACAATAAGCATAGCCATATTTTGAGGAAAACAATGCTTTTTTCCCAAAATAAAAAGTAATTTATGATAGAGTAGTGAGCATTTTACTGTATGTCTACTTGTGATGCACTGCTCTCAAGTCTTGTCTCTGAGTGCGAGGCTTGGCTGCCAGCATCAGAATAGCCTGAGAGCTGTTTAGAGGTGCAGAGGTGCAGTGGCAGGAGCGCCAGGTGGTCTGCGCATATCAGAGGAGCCATGCTGGAGGGCACTGTGATCAAATGCTGTGCTCCTGGGGGCACGATCGCGGCTCCCAGCAGCTAGTGCAGATGCAAGCATGCGGACTGAATTGGCCATTCAGCTGCCAATAACAGCATTGTTGGTGGAAAATGATTTTTTTTTTTTTGGAATAGCAAGCTATTCTCCGTAAAGTGTGAATAGGAAGAAAAAGTAGTCTTCCTTTTTGACACAGTGGGCGCATTCAAAACAAACCAGGGCACTTAGAAGTCTTTGGCCACGGGGCATCTTCCTCTGAATGCAGGAAGGGTGCCTGGCATTTCTGCTTTCCATTTGGTAGTGCCTGCCATAAGTTATAGCAGCCAAAGGACATCGTGGAGGAAATTGCTGTGGAATAGAAATGCGGTGACACGTGTCCCGGCCACAGGGCAGACACCTGCTCGTTTCCCCCAGGAGCCCTGCACTTTCCCTTTTCTGTCCTTGCTCTTTCTGCCCTTCTCCGGAGTGTGACTGGGACCCTACTGTGGTTTTCACCGGCGAGTCCTGTTGACTCCTGGGGTTGAGAACACCTTCTTTGCTCTCCAGTCCTTGTCTCTGCTTGCTTAGCTTTGGAATAGCTCTCGTTCATTAGGAAATGGTTTTTGTATGTTTTGGGTAACAACATTTGATCGATTTTAAGAATGTTGTCGTCTGGTCTTGGGCGTGCCTTTTTATTTTAGACGGCTAGAAATTGTATGTTTTAATGTCAAATTTCTTTCTAAGAAACCTTTAAAGTTTTACTTTTCCTGTGTAGATCTTAAATTTGCACATAGCTTTTTGTGTGATGAGGTGCTTGTGAATCTAAATATGTTCAATAAAAGTAACTGCTGAAATTTCCATTTTTCTTAATATTCTCTGAATGGTAGTGGTTGTATTTCAGTCTTACTATCTTTATGGCAAAATTAAAATTTGACAAGTCTGTCATTTCACCTTTTTTTTTTAACTGTATTGAAATCCATAAAGCCTGAGAACTTGCTTTAAAGTGCAACTTCGTTCCTGAATGCTCCAACAGCCAGACCATTCTTATTTCGCTCTTTGGATGAAGGCTGCTCAACTGGTAAAGTGGGCACAGATATTGCACACTCTGCAAGGTGTGGGGTGCTCTGGCTGCTTTCTGTCTCCTGTTCCTCACCCCAGGAGTCCAGAGCTTTCCAGGGCTTTTCACTACTTTTCAAATAATACGCATGATTGCACAGAATGGAGTTTCAGAATAAATGTAAATATGTGAGTGTAATTTGAGTCCCATTGAGGGTCTGTCTTGTTTTCTTAGAAAGTAAAAGGGAGAATGCTAAGCAGGTTCTTACACATACAGCTAAAGAGGGAAAGCAGTGGCAGGCGCTTAACCCAGTGCCGCAGTCTTACGTCCCTACGCCGGAGTGTGGTGATTCTGTGAGACCTTCGGCTCCTGGCTCTGGCCTTCTGTTAACGCGGGCTCTGAGAAGCAGCAGCTATGCTTCGGCAGCTGACTTCTTCCCAGACACCTGTCGGCATCATCTGGGGGTGGACCAGCTGTTGAGGCCCTCTCTGTATGTCTCTCCGTTTCTCAAGTAGTTAGTAGGAAGGAAAGTCTACCAGTGTTGCTGGGCCTGTTCTGGAGGTGTGAGGTTGGGGGGGTGGGGCAAGAAGGAGAATTCATCTACAAGCATAACAAAACAAGCAAAATCTCTAGACTTCCCTAAAGCTTACTCTGAGTACCAGGGACGCTGTGCACTAGAAATGGAGTGTTTACAGTGTGGATAAAGGAACTGCCTGCGGTGCTTTGTGTCTTTCCTGCTCTGCTGCAGGTCCAGCCACCTGCTAATGGCCTGGGGAAATGGTTTGTGTGTTTGTTTTTTCACATTGTTACATAGTTGAGAGGGATACATGCCACGTGGGCTTCTGGTTAGGGGAGGAGGTTCGGGTACTGGGGAAGGGTGGGACAGATGTTTCAGGTGTTCTGAGTCTACAGCAGGGTGGCTGCTCCCTGCTGTCAGACTACAGCAGCACCAGGCATGGTCATCTGATGACCCTTAGTTATGCAGGGAAGAGTGGTTTTGGTGGTTCTGAGAAGTTGTTGGTTCCTTTCCTCCAGGATTGAGACAAGCAGCTCCTCCCTGCCCCTATCTCATAGTGCTGTCGCTTTATTGTCCGTGTTTGTCACGGTCTGTGATTGTATGTGTCACTACTTGATGAACGCTTGTCTCTCCCATTCTGAAATCTCGATGGGAAGAACTAGTCGGGACAGTGACACATTTGGTTAACATCGGTTAGGCGCCCTCTAAGCCTCCCAGGTGACACTTAACTGGCACAGATTTGTTGGTGTTTT